TTCTTCAAGTGCGTCGTGGCTACCAGCACCTAGGATGAGTTTTTACAATGTAAGTGGAGAATACACACCTCATAATATACTTGTGCTTTTTTGATTCCCCAGGATTGGAATTCATGTGTTTTCCGTGTATTATATTTCAGGCAAGCAAAGCAGCAATTGCGCAATTTTTCGAGACGTCGAGGATTGAGTTCGGGCCTCATATAGGAATTACACTTGTAACTCCTGGATTCGTAGAGTCTGAACTTACAAAAGGCAAACAAATGAGCAAGGCAGGCAAACTTGAAGTTGATCAGGAAAGCAGAGATGTAAGTTGTTTCCCTTTTTTTTCTCGACCTGTGCACGATATAAGCATCAAAATTCCCTATTACGTACCACAAAGCAAATCAAAACATAATTCCTAATCATAAAGCTCATAATCAAACCATCATTAACACCTGAGCAAACCACAATTTGACTTTTAGAGTGTGTTTGAGCCACATTATTTTGGAAGAATGTATTTTGGAATAGTAGATTGATGGAGGATTTGTGATTTAAAATTAGGAAAAAAAAATAGGGTTTTCAACTAATATTATTTTTTTATTAAAGAATGTATAAATGAAAAGAAGAAAGAAAAATATATTTTGTAAATAACGGGATCTAACAATGGCTTCATTTTACCCAAATAATAATTGTCAGATTGGGGCTTAGTATAAGAGCACACACCTTATAAATGTTACTTCTCTCGAAAGAAGACTTGAAATCGATATTTCAACCCTTTTTAGCTCACCCAATGATAGATAGAATAAAACCACTACCTTCGAGTGTGTGCTCTTTTTTTTTTTTCACTCGTCGTGAATGGTTGACGAAATAAAAACAAAAATACAATCGATCTCGATGCAATTAGATGGGTAACTATTGGCAACACAAGCATGTGGAGCTATTATATTCCTATCTTAAGGCGTAAAATAGCACGATACACACCCTATGTTGTTAGAATATTCATGCCCCTGTTTGGTCCGAATAAAAATATGATTTTAATTCAAATCAAAATCAAACAATCAATATTAACTACATCTTTCATGGGTCCCACAAATTTTCAACCATACATTTCAAAAATTTCTATCACAATCTACTAAAAATTAAGTTTTAATATCTACCAAACACCCTCTAGTTAGAAAGTATTAAAGCATTCGTTCTTAAATCGCATGTTTAGTGAATTTATAAGCATATGAAACATGTACTCTTTGCAAATTTTTATTTTAAGTTCTATTTAACTTATTTATAACCCTAGAATAGAAGCTTGCACTTCAAAACTTTCATCGCAAACTAGACGACTTTGAAAATGCATCTTCAATTAATATTAGTACATATTTGTCTCTTTTTAAAACAAAACTCTTTAAATCCCAGTTTGACAATCATTATTTGAAAATTCTTTTTTTTTACATGCTCATTTTCAAACAAACATTCACATAATAAAATATTCTGCACGTAAACTTAAAATTTTTCCTTATCTTTTTACAACATATTCTTCTAAAAATCACCATTCTATACATTGTTTTGGCCAAATAAAGACCATCAAACATGGGCTAATTTTCGCTATGTTTGACACACATTTTATGAGAATGAGAAATTTTGGAATAGTGATTGATGAGAGAATGTGTGGTGAAAAAGTAATGAAATTTTTTTGATTTGTGTGTAATATTATTTTATTTGGAGAATGTGTGGTTGAAATGAAAAAAGAGAATAAAAAAATAAGAATAAAATGAGTATTTTTGTTTCATACTCATTTTCAATTATACATTCTCACAATAAAATATTTTATAAGTAAATTTAATTTTTTTTAAAACTACGTATTCTCTAGAAAAATCACTATTCAGAAAATCACTTTTTCTCAATAATGGCCGTCGAACAGGAATTTACTTATCATGCTTGCCTAGTCGAATTATAAGCGCATGGGGCACCTTTTAACTTATAAGTGAATTTTAAAAGTAAGTTTTGTTACTTTTGTGTAAAATATTTTCCCTCTTTTACACATGCACACACTTTTCCCCTTTCTCTCTGTCCACCATTGTTGCTTCTCCCAGACACTTCCACTCTTCTGGAAACTGTTCAGTTAACAAAAGGAATTTCCATTCATTCCATCTGACTATTCTAGTTTTCTCAGTTCAATTCAAAGGAAAAAATTACCCAGTCACTGGGGAAGGATCAATGGGTGGAATGACGTCATCAATGGCGGCGAAGTTCGCCTTCTTTCCGCCGAATCCGCCGTCGTACAAGGTGGTCAAGGATGACCTCACGGGGCTGCTGCTGTTGAGCCCGTATCCGCACCGGGAGAATGTGGAAGTGATGAAGCTGTCGACTAGGAAAGGGACGGAAATAGTTGCGATGTATGTGCGGCATCCCATGGCCACCTCTACTCTGCTTTATTCACATGGTAACGCTGCCGATCTTGGCCAGATGTATGAGCTGTTCATCGAGCTCAGTATTCATTTGCGCGTCAATCTCCTCGGGTAATCATCTCGTCTGAAACTAGAAGCTGTAATCGGATTCGGTTTCTGATCACGATTCTAATATGTGCACAATTTTTTCGTAAATCTTGTTTTCAACACATGCTCTCCATGACATGTAACCACGATTTTTGGGTTTTGTGAAACATTTTGTTAGTTTAGGAGTGAAATTTCCATATTTTCAGCTATTGTGTAAGGGTTTATCATAGTCTTTTTAAGTTAGTGTAGATGGTGGTTTATTTTTCATTGCTCCGTTCTTATGCCTCAGGAAATTATGTGGTAATACCTGTAAGTCCGTCGGGAAATTAGGACGAATTTCTTGATTTAATTGGCAGATTTGATTTTAATTCAATTTCAACAGGTCCATGTGAAGAAAATTAGGAAAGGATTTTTATTAAAGGATCTTAGAAGCACATGGGTACTCACTTGTGCTGCCGGCCATTAGATCCAATTAGTGTGCTTTTGATTCTTATTTCCATATAATGGTGTTTTGGAATTTGGATCAAAAGTTAAATTCTCTTATGCATGAAGCCCTTTTCTTCTACGTTCTAAGACAAGCTTAAAAGAACGGTGTTTTTTCTGGGTTAGGATTTTGTAGGCTAGTTTGGTTTAGCAAAATCTATATATTCGTAATTTGTTTTGAGGTTTACAATTTGATTAGGCCACGCCATTACTGTTGCTAAAGCTGATGAAATAACAATTCAGGAACTCTTGTAATATAGCCAGTCTTGTTGATGGTGTTCATTTTTCCATTTCTTTTCTGTGTTGAATTGAAAACTTATTCTCCTTGAAATGATGAACGAACTTCAAAGTAAGGTATGTTATTTATTATTTCTTCCAAGTTTTGGCAAGTTCGAGTAGAAGAGTTTGCTTATTCTCTTGTTGATCTTGTTTTCAAAGGATAGGTATGAAGTCTTCTGAACTCCTATGCATAAACTGCTCGAGTTAATGAAACTCTAATTTGTGCCAACTTCTACCTTAGTTGAGACAATCTTCATATCATATCAGTGTTGCTTGCTGAAATGTGGATGCTTTGGATGATGAATAAGAATGGTAGCATCATTATGTTATTACAAATTCTTTTGCTAATTAAGCTCATGGATGAGCTGCCATTATGCCATGGGTTCGAGCATCAGGTTAACTGCCATTTTGATTAAGTATTTTGTCTTCCTGTCATGCCATTGACTTGTGCATGCTAAGGTTGCATGTGAAGGCATCGCTTAAGCTGTGTGATCCATGCCTTTGACATGCATTTTCATGCTAATTCCTGGACTTTTTGTTAGTTTTAATTTTCATTTTAGAACTTCTACTTCTTGACTTGCTGGACCATTTTGATTTGTTAACCATGCTATATGTCTTGCAAATACAATTTTTTGCGGATAATTTCGAACTATAGCCTATACAAGCTTAGCACAAAATCTTTCCCATGCCCCTACAACACAATGCATATAGCTCCATTCATCTAAACTTTAATGTATGAGGACTTACACTCGGGTCAAATTGAGTAAATATGATAGTGCACAAAGTTATTGTATTCCAATTTCCAACAATTCAAAACTGCATGTTACCTTTCAAATGATGAATGTTCCCGAAAATACAGTTATATTGAAATCTCTGACTGGGGTTTTCCCATCATCAAATACATCATTATATTCCACTTTTGAGGGCGGTGCACCAGAACATATAGAAATAGAATCTCATTTATCGTAATAATCTAAAATTCCCGCAGAAGGAAAAAAGGGAAAGAGGTAATTCTTACTTGATTTATAATGACAGTGTTCAGCAATTTGGGGTATCAGGGAACCAGAGTCCCTGGTTTTGATTTTTGTGTAGAGAAGTATCATTCCTAATTTTTCCCATAAACAGTTATTTGTATCCATTAAGCCATGGTTTGGACTCTAGGAATGTGTTTTAAAATAGTGATTTTTTGGAAAATGTATGGTTAAAAAATAAGGAAAAGTTTAGATTTACGATAATATTTTATTGGAGAATGTGTAGTTGAAAATAAGAAAGTGAAAAACGCATTTTTTTCAAAAATGGACCCCAAACAGGGACTAAATGACCATGGACATATTTTATAGACGTTAGATACTTCTAGGCATCTGTCATCCTTTTGAGTGCAAGTTCCCGATCTTGTGACTGTTTTCTAACGATCTACGTGCTAGAAGAAAACTTTGTAGGTATTGTTATGAGTGTAATATATTTTCAGTAGATACAAATGTCTCATGTCTGCAGTTTAGCAGAAGAATGACTATTTTCTTGCCCCTTAATTTTGGTCAGGTATGACTATTCTGGATATGGGCAGTCATCTGGAAAGGTACACTGTTTTTTCTGTTGCATGTGCTGTGTAGGTTGTGCCCCGGAAATATAATGTACTATGCGTTTTTCTTTCTTATAGCCCAGTGAGCAACATACATATGCTGATATTGAAGCCTCGTATAAGTGTCTTGAAGAGAATTATGGTACTAAGCAGGAAGATGTTATCCTCTATGGACAGTCTGTTGGAAGTGGACCAACTTTGGATCTTGCATCTCGTTTGCCTCGATTAAGAGCTGTTGTCCTGCATAGTCCTATATTGTCTGGCTTAAGAGTCATGTATCCTGTAAAACGCACATATTGGTTTGATATCTACAAGGTTGCATGAGATTCATCTTCTTATAAACGTAGGACATAGAGCTTCCTGCAATGATTTGTTTTGCTAATCTTTGTTCCGCTATTCTGCAGAACATCGACAAAATCCCACTGGTCAAATGTCCAGTTCTCGTGATTCATGTAAGCATTTCAAGAATCTCTCTTTGCATTTTGCCTGTGAGCACGACTCGGTTCAGTATGAACGTCTTTTATTATTCTCAAATATGGTGGTAATAAAAAAATATGAAACTTTTGCATTTTCTGTTAGATTTCATATCAATCTCTTGGATTGGTTGCACATTTGAAGGATTGGTTGCTTATCGAAAGAAAAACTAAATTTTGTGTGGACTAATGCCTCGAGTCTCAATCACTGTTGATACTATAGAAATGTCAATAAGATACAGATACCTGTCAGAAACAATTTTAAATGCCTACGTAAGCTGTATGGTTGTCTGCTTATCTGTTATGCAGGGAACTGTAGATGAAGTTGTGGACTTCTCGCATGGCAAGCAGCTCTGGGAACTATGCAAGGAAAAATATGAACCCTTGTGGATCAAAGGAGGAAATCACTGTGATTTAGAACTCTATCCCGAGTATATCAGACATTTGAAGAAATTTGTGGCAACTGTAGAGAGACCCCCATCACAGAGGATGGGTTCACGGAAAAGCGTGGACCAGTTTGAGCCGTCTAGGAAGAGTACAGATATTTTTGAGGCTTCAAGAAAGAGCACTGACCGGAGAGAAAAACCGAGGCACAGTACTGACAAGCCCGAACATATCAAATGTCAGTCGAATAACCCTGACAAGCTAGATAAAATAAGGATCTCATTTGATCAGATTGAAAGGTCTCGGAGAAGTGTCGATTGCATTGAAAAATCCCGAAAAAGCATCGACCTTCAGCTCGAAAGAGGTCGGAAGAGTGTTGACCGGTTGGAAAGATTAAGGACAGGGTAAAACATTTTCCAACCCAATCGTAAAAACTTGTGCTTGAATATGGTGATATTGGGTATAGGAGATTAATTGGGATTGCTTTATTTATTGTATTCAGGGTTTATAGTCTGCTTTGTGGGAATTCTGTAATAACTGGTGAATGAAATCAGAGAGAAATGTGGTGTTACAATGAGATTCTTATTTTAATTCTTTGGCATTGTAGGTTGTTTTGGCATGCCTCTCGGCCTTTGGTGTGAAAAAACACAGGACCACTGTCACCCGTGCCCGAAAAGTTCAGTCCAAATGTGACTCTTTGCAGCAACAAATATAATTTTTTATTATTATTTTTTAATTTTTTATCAAGTGAGCATCAGAAATGAGTAAGACTGTTGGGCTGGAGCTAACACGACACGACCCAGTCTTGACACAAGTAACGTCGGGCCGAGACTTGACTCGGTTTACCCTTGATTTAAATAACGTGGCTAAGTGCCCATGTTTGTAGGTATATTTTATGAATTCTAACAGCTATTTCGGAAATTCATCAAGGATTGAATTGTACGAATACGTAAAATATGGTATTTAATTTCCAATCTTGCTAGGATTGGATGGGATGGATACTCTCAATTTAAGTGAGTAATTAGAGTTTCATAGTTGTTCTCACGTCAATCTTTTGTTCATTCTCATCGAGTCACGAAATTCAAATAGAAAAATTCAGATCAAGTCTGGGGTTAATCAACCTCGAACTTATGACTTGTGCTACATCAAGGTGGCCTAGTTGAGTTATGTAACTTCCCTATCTTATTGAGAATTAGAATTGACTAATTCTAATGATAAAAAAAAAAAAAGCAATGCATTTATTCTTAAACAATTTAACCCCTATTTGACAATCATTATTTTTAAACTCTTTTTTTTTTTTTAAATACTCATTTTTAATCACACATTCATATAATAAAATATTCAGCACGTAAATCCAAAACTTTTTCATATTTTTTAATCACATTCTTTTAAAAATCACTATTTAAAACTCAATTTTTTCCAAATAATGGTCGTCAAACAGGGGCTTAGAGACTAGTCTTCTTTTCACTCTATTACGAATATGAACATTGTTACGCCTTAAAACCGAGGCTCAAGAAGAAGCCCAAACAAAAGGCCCACACTCCACTTCATCAAAAATTGAACTGAAGTCATAGATAAAGATAACAAATCGACGCCTCACCTACAGCGCCATGTGTAAGCAGAAGCTCCATAGTCGAAGTGAGACGCCACCTACTGCAAAACAATAATAAAGAGGTGATATACTGCTTCATCCGAAGCACTATATAAGTGGTTGAGGCTCTCCGTCCTGAAGCTCTTCACACCGAAGACCTCCAATACGAAGCTCCCTTTGGCTGAAGCCCTCGCTCCAATCCGCAGCTTCCTTTGGTTGAAGCTCTTGTTGTCTTTTAGAGGATCTGCGACAATCTTTAAGAATGATTGATGTAATGTTTGTAATAATGAATGTTAAGATTGTCAGTTTAGGGTATAGGGTGGCAACCCGTTGTCAATGTATTAAATGCATAGCAAATAGAATGATGTGAGATTTCGACCTTGGAGATGTGGCCACATGATTCTTCTCCAACGGCTACCACTTCGGCCAGAACTCTAAAAATAAATAACTGTTGTAACATTTGAAGCTACTGCAACTTTTGATACTAAAAACCACATTCGATCTTCTCTTTTGCTTATTTCATATTTTTGTGCTTAAGTTAAAATTATTCTTATTTCAGTTGAGTTGTACGTGGTTGTTTGTTTATATGCAATTATCTTAAATCATGTTGTCGATACTTGAACATTTTTGTCTCGTGTCATAAAGCATCTTCCACATCCATAAACTCCATCTTTTTCTGTATGATTTTTCGATCAAAACGTGCTGAAATTTGTTTGTGTGAACGCGAATGAGCCCGACATCTATTGTCCACGTAACCATTACCAAAAAGGGGTCAACAAACATAATTGTCAAAATTGAGTTCAAATATCAACAGACCATATTGAAAAACCATGCATTATGAACTTTGGATTGCTTCATCAAAGCTAGAGATCAACAATTTCATAACCTCGACTTCCTTCGATCCTTGATCAAAATCTTTAAAAATCTTTGACCGCCAACCTTCTCCAAATCAAAATTTTTGAATTTTGAACAGATTTTTAATCGTGATAGCACATGTCTAAGTCCACACCAATTGTCAAGACATTAGAGAACTTCAAGAATTTTTGGGCAAAAAGTTGTATGAAAACAAATCCTAAATGGGCAGGCTTAATATTAAATTAAGCTAAAGTATCTCCTGTTTAGTATTGGATCGACCTTTTAGAACATGCATTTCACATCCCCATTTACACACTAACACAAAATTAACTCGATTAGAGTGCCAATTAAATTTGAATTTATATATTATTCTTGCAACCTATTCTTAAACCCATCTTAAAAAGGATCAAAATATGATCTTTCGGCCGTTAAATCTACCTTGGGATTTGTTAATAAATATTAATAAGAGCCTGTTTTGGACTTTAATTATGTTTGAAAATGATAACATGTCACGCTCTTGAAATAATGTTAATTGAACTTAACAAATTTGTTATTTTAGTCACTACTTGTTTTAATAGAAGCAACATCTCGATCACAAAGAATCGATGGTGTTGGTGAGGGGCGGGATGGCAAATTTGTTATTTTAGTTGCTACTTGTTTTAATAGAAGCAACATCTCGATCACAAAGAATCAATGGTGTTGGTCAGGGGCGGGTGCATCCCACACCTATTTTGTTTAGCCCACAATTACATCTGTCTTCTCCGTGCCACAAAATGTGCTATTTTCTCGTTGACATGATTAGACTAATGATATATGTTAACCCTTTTTTCGTTTCAATATTGTCTAGTGCCATCCAATTTTTTTGTTTTCTACCTTCTATGGTCATTCGAGAAAGGTTTATGAAAGAAAATTATTTAAGAAACACTAA